GACGGCAGCCCTCAGCGATGTGCCATCTGGCTCTTTAGCCGGAGATATGAGCTCATGCGAAGAGAAACGTGGCCCTGTCACGGCAGCAAAGGGGAGGAGAGATGGCAGAGGGGACACGTTGCTCGAGACCCTGTCCCCCTGATGGGTTTTAGGAAATCAGAGCCCAGGTGGGAGCAGCTGGGGTGCTGCTGGGAGGATTGTGGCTGCTGCAGTCTGCGCTGGGAGCAAAGCATCTCCCGGGGCTGGTGGGTGAAGCTGGAAGTAACTCAGTGTTTGCAAGCTCTGCTTCCTTTATTTCAGGGACAAACATTTCAAACAGGAGTGGGGAAGGCAGTGCAAATTTAACGCTTTTGCCCGAAGCCAGCCCTAAAGTATTCCCCGAGGCCGTGAGTAGTGACACCAGGTCACACGGAACAGATTGTCCCAGTAAGCAGCAGCCTGGTTCAGGCTTCCACCTAAGGATAAAAACCCCTAATCTGTGTCAGTGCAGGTAAATCCCTTGTTCTGGTGTGTTTTTTTCCCCCAGATGTCCCTTTTGACATAGTCTGGAGGAGAGAAGCCAACGTGGTTAGCTAACACGGAGAGCAGCCAGGCCCTGGCGCTCATGACATCTTGCTCTCCTGCCACCTTGTACTCCCTGTACGTATTTGGGCTGCTTTGCTGGATTTTCTGCCTGTCCCTCGCAGCACTCACCTGGGTTTTGCAGCAGCTCTGAGCTCAGGGACGCCTTGCAGGAGCAGGAGGGGTGTCGGAGCTGCTGCTCTGGCAGCGTGTATGAAGTGCCTGCTTTGCTGCCACGCTCAAGGAGACTTTCCTTGTCTGGGCGCTGAATCAGAGCTTGCTCCAGGAGGTGCTCGTTCAGACAAGCTTGCCTCGTTATCTCGGTGTTAAAACCGATGGCCTGATAGCCGGGATTGTTCCCTTGTGGTGGTGTGACAGCCTCGTGCCCCTCAGCTGCATTTATCCAAAAAAATCTCAAACATTTTACTCTACTCTGGGAATATTTGCTTGGTTTGATCAACTTAGTCCTCGTTGTTACGCTTCCCTCAGGTAAATACCCGACCTGCCTGGAAGTGCCGGGGTCCCGAATCAGCAGGGAGCGGTGGCTGCTTTTCCTAAAAGCAGCGCTCAGAGCACCGGGCGCAGATGCTGCTGCTACAGAGGAGTCTGAAAACAAGCGAGCTCTGATGACGGTCACGAAGGAAGCTGGCTGCCAGTTGATCCTCTCGCAGCTGTATGCGGGCCGTCACGCCGTGAGGGCTGCAGCTAGGGTGTGAATCAGCCGGGCTGGGGCTGCTGATGGTGCTTCCTGAGCTGCACCGGCTCCTGGAAAAGCCACGCGCCGGGAAGCGGATGAAAGCTATTGACCTGTGCTGGTTGGGAGTGATAGATGCACCCTTCAGGTCAATAAGGAAGCCGTTTTTAGTCAATGCAGCCCTCTGGCTGTGGCACGAGGCATATTTGTGGAGTCTGAAGGGCTGCTGGTGTTCACTGGCCACCGAGAGCTCCCTCGGTGGTGGTCCTGGCCGAGGCTAAGCTGATTCCAGCAGCCAGATGTCCTATTAACGCTTGATCTTACTCCTGCTTTTTCACGATAAGCCAATAAATAAGGTTACGTAAGCAACATAACCTTTAATCTTTACCATAAGAGCTTTAATAACGTGCACTTTTAGAAATATTTATAAAAATACGGTACGCCCCAGCCGGCTTCCCCCGTGGCAAGAAGACACAAGTGTGCCAGCCTGCTGCTCGTGCTGGAATGCAAAGGGCTGACAGGTATGGAGGCTGGGAAGGTGGCAGCAGCTGAGATGTGGGTGAAGAGCAGCTCCCAGCCCTCGGTGTGCTCCTGGCATGGCAGCAGTGGGTCTGCAGACCCTCGCGGGGCACCCAGCAGGTCTGCCAGGCAGGGTGTAACTCAGGGTGACAAGCTGCTCTGCCTTCTTCTGCTCTGCATTTCTACTTTTCTGCCTGGAAATGTCAGTAAAAGCGAGAAAAAGTGGGAGTTTTGGTTAGTAACGTGCTGGGTTTTCCCCCCCCGTCCTCCAGCATAAGGAGAAGTCAGCACTTGTGCCCCTGTTGCATTTATCTGCCACTTGCCTGGTCCTCCCCGTTGGGTGGGGAAGGGTGGGCAGAGATCAGGGAACTGCTCTTTGCAGCCAGTTCACCGCGTAAAAACACATCAGGAAGGCTTCTCTCTGCCATCCTCTGCGTGGAAACGGGGTTTGATGGATCTGGTGCTCCTTAGCTGAGGGGAGGATTCCCTTCCCCTGTTTAAGCTGGGAATGAATCATCCTCGTACGCCTGATGCTTCCTACCAGGGAAGATTCTTCTTGCCAGAAGAGAAATCTTTAATCAATGCAGACTGTGCTTGTTCTGCCTCAGGTTAATTTGCTGAAGTTCAGGAAGAGAATTACAAGCTCTCAGCTGCCTAAACGAGCTCGAGAGGTGAACTGGAGAACTTGGGAGAGCTCTTTCGTCTCTAAGAGCTCGATTTCTGGCAGGGCCAACTTCGGTTTTCTGTGGAGGTTTCAGGCTGTTTGAACGGCACACGTAATGAAGCACTCTGTAAATGATACCCCTCTGGGGAAAGCTTGAGCTTGGAAAACATCAGGTGGAAGGCTTGGTGCGTGTCTGAGGCGCTGCTTTGGGCTTGCGTTCTCCTCAGGGAGAGTGATGAAACTAATTAGCTCCGTGGGTAGGAGGAACATTGAGGTGTCTGGCACGGGGAGGCTGAGAAGTTAGACATCCTTGTTCTAATGTTTTTGGGGTGTGATTTTAAGCAGCCTTCCTGGCTGTGGGACACTCCCGAGGTTTGAGGGGATCGGGTCAAATGCAGGGACTGAGCCCTCACCCCTCATGTCCTGGTTGTCGCTGAGGAGCTGGCCCTCGTCCCTGACCTGTGCCACATCCTGCAGAGCTGTTTCACCCCGCAGGGATGTAAATCTTGCGGTTCGACGTCCTCCCCTGCCCTGCCCATCTCCCCCCAAGCTGCTCAGTGTGTGCCGTGACTTCCTTCCCTCGAAGCAGCTGGCACAAATCTCTGCGGAGCAGCACCACCTCATCTCCCTCCAGGCCTGAGCATCGCTCCTATCGATCCGTGGATCCCCATCTCCATTCCCTAACAGACATCAAAGAGGTAATATATTTCTATTGCACTCGAATTCATTTCCCACTTGGTTCCTCTGGACCGCTTCCAGGATCTTGTTAGGCACAGAAGGCGCTGCTTGCCTTAAAGGATGGGATCCCGACCGCTCGGCCACAGCACCTTGGATCTTTCCTCCCTGCTCCCCTTGCCCTGCACCGTGACTTCGGTAAAGCCTGCAGGATTGAAGGAGTTGCTTGATGGATTGAGGTGTGTGATATGCCTTAAGCTGAGACTGCCTGCAGAAAATGGAGTGTAAAATCCAGAAGAGTTCCTTGTGCTTCGTTAGCAGTTGGAGGAACGTGCAGGAGACCCAGGTCCTTCCAGCAGCTGACATTGCTTTTTGTGCTCTTCAGCAGCAGAGCCCAAAATCCACCCTAAAGCAGCTCTTCAGTGATGTAGAGGAATCCAGGTGTCAGACCCAGCTGTTTGGTGCTCAGGGATCTCGTGTCAATCCTTGGTACGGTTTGAGGTGCTGTTCTGCCAATCGGTTCCGTTGCATCCCAATTAGCAGAGGACACCTGTTCCTTAATTAGCACCATCCTTCCCCTGTCTCCTTTGTTTCAGCTCTCCCTGCTGCAGGAGCTAATCACGGGACCTGAAGGGAGGCTGTGCTGAGCAGCGCCTGTGTTTTGGGAGGGGGCTGAGACAAATCAGTGTCAAACTCCAGAATAATTTCCAATTATTCAAAGTAATTAGAGTTGGTGTCGTCTTTGGTTTCTCTAGATCTTTGACCTACTCCTTAGGCTACAGTTTTAGTCCTCTGAGGTTTGTGCCCTGTCCTAGGACTGAATGGCAGTCTGTAAAGGGTAGGAGAGGGAGTTAAGGTGACCAGAAGGAAGGAATGAGAGGGGGAAGAACAAAAAAGATTTGTAACTGGCTGATTTGCTTGTGTTAAAACGGGAAGTGTCTGAACTGTTAAGGCTGTTTTAGCTCGTAGTCTTGTCAGTTATGCCTGCGATGCTGTATTCTGTGTCATTTCAGCACTTCCTCCAAGCATCCTGAATTGTTTTGCAAATCTGAATTCTCTGTGTGCTTTCTCTCTTGTTTTTTCTGCGTGCAAAGAAAAAAAAAAGCACAAGATGTAGCGTAAATGGTGGCCCCGAGGTCGTAGTGTCTTGACCGAGCAGCGTGTGAAACCCAAGGGCTCTCTCCTCTGGTCCCCTTGCTGGATTTACTTTGGTCGTTTGAGAATACTTGCAGTGTGAGGCACTTCCAATTTGCCTTGCAGATATTCTGAAACAGTCTCAAAAAAGGTTTCTTGGCGTTGTACTTGTCTTAAAATAGCTCGGTTCCTGCTCTGTCACTGACTCTGGGGTCGACAGAGACCTGGAGGCTCCGCCGCCTGCCCTTTTGAGCCTCAGTTCTTCCCTTCTGGTGACACCTTTTCTTGGGAACTGCTTTAAGGAGTCATGGAAAAGAGCAGCGTGTAAATATTAATGTTGAGTGTTTGTCTTTCACATCCTGTTGGGATTCTGAACAAATCCTGACGGCGTGCGCTGCAGCCTCCTCGATGCTGCTCGTGGACCTGCTGGTGCATTGCTACCCCACCGCTGGCAGCTGAGAGCCTGTGCTGCCCCGTGGGCTGCAGGCAAACCTCTTCTGTAGCACCAATTTGTGTCCCTGGCAGAAATATCTCCTCCCAGTTCACGTTCAGACCTCCATCAAGGTCTGGTGTCAGCTCCTTTTCTCCGCCTGGACGAGGCGGTGCTCTGCGTGCTGCCCCGTGCCCCAGCCAGGTGTGATGGTGCTGCACAGGGCATGGGCTGACAGCAGGTTTGTGTTGTGCTGCATGAGAGAGCTAGAGGAAACGCGTAGGAAACAGCAGCCTTAATGCTTTTTCTGTTTTGGTGGATAGATTTTGCAACCCTGCTGGAGGAGGAGCAGCAGGCGGGTGCCGCGGCGTTCCCAGGTGAGGTGGCTGAGACCCACTGCTCTCAGCGTACACCTAAGAGGGCAGCAAGGGGACCAGCATCCAAGTCAGCCGTGTAACTGTTAAGTTTTGAGCTTCCTGCTCTAAAACGTGCAACTCGGTGTGAATTAAAATGTCCTGGGCAGCCCTGGTTCTGTCGCTGTTCAGCCTCAAAGCCAGCCATCGGCGTTAACGCGAGCAGACTGCTCCCAGCTATTGCTGCCCGGGCCTAAACTGAGCACGTACCTGGACAAAGAGGCTGCTGTTTGGTGTTTAATGTTTCATAAAGCTGCTGTGAGAGCCTGTTCTGAAACGTGTCAGTAAAGCCAGGCTGGAGCAGTGATAGCGAGTGGCTGAGAGCCAGGAGGATCCTGTGCTCTGCTCCTGCCCAAGGCAGCTCCTGATACCGAGCAGCTTGCTCGACCCCTGGTGTCTCAGCCAACCTCGCTGTGAAATTAAGCAACAAAGAGGGCTCTGACAGACATGTCTGGAGGTGAACTTGCAAGGCAAGCTTTGCTTTACTGATAAATTTGTCTTCCTAGCAGAACTTGTTTTTTTAACCTGGCTGTTTTTGTTGTCCTTCCAGGCAGCGTTCACTCTACTCCTGGGTCCTTTTACCTTCTTCAACGTGCAGAAGACCAAGTATCTTCAAATCATGACGTCTCTGATGAGGTGGATAGGTGAGTCTTGGCAAGCCCCCGCCTCTTCGCCATAGATGGAACCTGAGTCATGCCACGGATGCATTTTTTTGGCAAGATATTCGTGTTTGTAAGTGCGTGCCTGTAAAAACAGCCTCTTGCAGGAGGACTGGCCAGGCCTGCTATCCGTGGTGAAGAAAAGGAATGTGGTTTTAGGATAAAGTTTCTGATTGAAACAAAATATTCTCAATCAGACAATCTGGTAGATGAAGGTGTCTTCATCTGAGACTTTCTGTCCTTTTTACCATGTTTGCATTTTTTCCCTGGGTCTTGATAGGATGTGCTCATTGAAAACCCTTAAATTAACACATGTTGCCCTTGGGAAGCATGAGCTCTCCCAAAATCTTACTGCTAAGCTCTTGTGGAAGGACAGGCCTTTCTCTTAAAGGAGGTGAGCCATCAGTGTTTGCAGCGCTGGTGTCATCCAAAGGTGCAGCTGCCTCACGCGTGGCTTGTGTGTGTACGTGCACTTAAAAGGCTGAGAGCTGGGAGTGTGCAACAGAGGCTCACACTGAGCCTTGTCTTGGGTTGTGCAACTTACACAGGGTGACTGCTATTCAGGGCTAGCAGTTTTCCAGCCCTAGTGGCATTTTGGCAGGTTAAAAATCTCCTCGTTCGTGGGCCCAGACCATTTGAGCACAGAACTCTTTGCTTATACCCATCACCGACCTAGAATAGGACAAAAAGATGACTCTCAGACTATTTTCCCACCACGCACACGTTTGACCTGACTTCAGCTGGAGATAATATCCCTTCTCCAGGAGATCAAAGGGCTGTGATCCTGTCTGGAGGTGGCTGGCAGAGAGCCTCTGTTCCAGAGGACACCTGAGATGGGGTTAAGCAGCCATCACCCAGGAAAATGAGGCTGGATCTTAAGCCCTCGAGTCTCAGATGCTGAGCGGCTCAGTTAACGCCAGCTGACCTCCGATGGTGTGAAAATCCTCAACTCCCATTTTTCCACGTTGCTGTCTGAGCACATGAAAGGTTTGAAAGCCCCCCCAGCACGTCCTTCGCAGGGAGAGGTTATCTCATTAAGGGGGTATTAAAGGAAGGTTTTATATTTTATTTTTTTTTAAGTGTAATCTCTTCAGCTCACTGGCCTGCTTCCAATGACTCAGCCTCCTCTTTCCCAGTAAAGACATCAGTCAGACCTCACTCACCCTGTCCCTGTGACAACCTGCCTGGCCTGCCTTTGCTTTCCCTGCAGCCAGCTGCCTCTGGTTCGGAGATTGCTGAGCCTTGGTGTAAAGGCAGAGCTGCCTCTTCCCTCCCGTGATGGAGAGGGACAAAGGCACTGGTTGGAGAGGTGTAGGGGAAACTCGTGCTCCAGCCTGATTGATTCCTGCGTCAGCCTGCTGGGGAACAGCTGCCCCAGATAATGATATTTAATGACCCTGACAGCACCTCGGTGCCTACTTAGAGCAACAGATTCCGTATGCACGCGATGAGGGATAGGTTTGTTAGGAGGGACGATTTGTCAAGCAGCCATGTGATGCAGGGAACAGAAAAGCTCTTGCTGCAGGTTCTGGGATAAGGATGGATCCCATACTGCTCAGATTTATCAAGCTGGCTTCTCCCATGTCCTCACGTCACCTGCTGTCCTTCTCCTCCAAAAGCAGGGCGTTGAGTTAGATGGAGCTTTCTGTTGGCACTTAGAGCTGAAATCCTAAAAAATGGAGTTGTTTGGTGCCTTGGGGTCTCTTGAGCTCATCCTGTCTGGATGCCGATGGCCAGATGGGGACTCCTGTCCTGCTGTCTGCCTTTTCTTTGCCTTCCTTTGGTTGTGGTTAGCCTCGTGGCTCTGAACGTGGTTCTTCTGTCTTAGATCAGCAGAATGCCAGAGCTGCCGGCCTCGCTTTTATTCTGCTGGGTGCAAACTTCCCCAGGGGCAGGGGCTGGCTCAGCTCACCCAAACCCACAGGTTGGTACGGGTGGGAAGCCAACCCCTACTCTGCATTAGGATTTTTAAAACCAAGCCTGGTAGAGCTGGGGGGCCAGTAAGGCTCTGTAACATGCTTACCACGAGTCCTGCCGTGCACCTTTTTCCCCGACCCCATGAAAATGCCCCAGATTTCAGAGCAGCACTGCCTGCCGTGCGGACACAGCGCCCCAGGTGCTGCACGGCAGAGCTGGCAGCAGCTGAGGCTGGCTCCTGGCAGCGGGCAGAGCTCGCTGCGTGTGAAGGTCACTGCTGCTGGTGGCTGCCACGGCGGCAGCGCTGCCTTTGGAAGCCGCTGCCCCTCTCTCCCCTGATCTGAGCAATAATCAGATGTCACCGGGCTCCTCGGGATCGTCGCAGGCGGCGCGCCCGCTAGCAAAGCCTGCAGGCGTCTCTGTCCGCACCTGGTGGACAGGAAAAAAAAATCCTGAAAAAATTGAGTCTTAAACGACCTGAATTAGGAGGAAAAACCGGGCCGGTCTGAACGATGTGGAGGTGCAGCAGGGGTGAGCCCTGTGTCCGGAGGTGTTCCTCACCCCGGGTGAGGGACTAGCGCTCAGCCCAGGGGAGCAGCTCATCCAGCAACAAGGCTGGCACGGTGAGTGCTCTCCTCTCAGGACCGTAGGAGCACCGAGGGTGGATCTGCAGGAGGCCTGGGGCAGGGAGCAGGCTGCCAGAGGCACGGAGCTGTTGGCAGCCTCCTGGAGAAGCAGCTCACACAGCTGGCTGCAGAGCCTACTTGGTAGCCCAAGTCCTGGGGTGGTTGTGGAGCTTTTCCCCAGGTCCTGTACAGGATTCTTGGCGCAGGAGTTTGCCTGCAGAAGGCTAAACCATTAATAATATTTTCAGTTTTGTTTGGACTTCAGGCTCTTTTTCCTAAAGGCTTTAAATTTGTGCTGGAGACGGTGACCCAGCCACGCCGATGCACTTTTGGAAGCAGAGGGGCCCGGCCCTAGCTCTTTATTCCCAGACAATAACTGCCTGGCGGTGGCATGGGAAAGGACCTGGATTAAGACAGATAACAAAAGGGGACAGGGCTCGGCGGGGCTCAGCAGCAAACACTGGGCTATTGTGTGTTAAGCAGCTAACCCGATTAATTGCAGCCTGTTACAGCCCGGGCTGCCCGGCTCTGTAGGTGGGGGCTGCTGGCTTCAGACTTATTGGTGGTTTGCTTATTGCTGCTGGTATTGAGTCTGTGGCAAATGCTCCCAGACAGCTCCCACGTGGGACGTTTGCTTTATGGACTGCTCTCGGTGCCGTGTCGTAGTTAGCAGAAGTATTTTATTTTAATAAAAAGCCCTTTTACGGAGGAATAAGCTTCGGGGTTTGCTGGCTGCAGGCTCCTTCCCCGTGCCACATCCATTCCCCTAACTGCAGCCCTAGGGACAGATCGCTCCCAACCCTGCCCAGGTAATGATCTCACCATTATATGCCCAGAAATTAAATCTCCTTCCTCTGGCCAGTAAGGTGGAGAGACAAAGGACACGAACAGCCAGCAGGTGTGTTAAATATTCCCCCTGTTCCTTTCCAGGGTGCTTGGTTGAAGGCTCCTAGGGAAGAAACCAGGAAAGGGCTCTCCGGAGGCGTGCTGCTGACTCCCCCGGTCTGTTCAGGTCTTTGGTAGCTCTTTCCCTACCACCAGGTGCTGCAGTCCTCAGGGTGGCCTCTTTGCTGCTCCGAGCCAGCTTTCTGCAGCAGGCAGGGCAGGGAGCATCCCATCTCTGCCCCTTTCCCGGAGCAGGGCGTATGGGAGGGACGAGGAAGAGGGATTTACTGTGAGCCAGGACGCTGTTGCATGTTCGGTTGTTTTAGGGATCCAGGCAAGCTTCTTCACCCAAGTAACTTCGTGTTCTTGCATCCTTTTTGGAGCAGAGAAAGCTGCTGCCAGAGCCCAGGGTAAATAATTCACTAAGAAGTGAATATATTTATGAAGAGGTAGCTAAAAGGCAGCGCTTCTGTCATGCTCGCTCTCGGAGCTGTCGCTCTCGGAGCTCATCTCAGTGGTGTTTGTGGGGGGCAGCGGGGCGAAGCGGGGCTGATGGCAGTGCAGGAGCCTCCTTGGCTTCAGATGCAGATGGAGAGTGACGTGCGGTGCTGGACGGGGCCGCTGAGATCCTGCCCGAGGAGCTGACGTTCCTGAAAAGAGCACTGCATCCAGGCGGGAGGAGACGAGCCGACGGCTCTGAGGGCTGGAGAAGGGGAGCTGCAGGACGCAGTTAGCCCTACGTCCCCGTGCTGTGAGGGTCCTGGTGATTTCAGGGTGGGTGTGAGGCACACAGAGCTGCTTTCTGCTGTTCAGCAGGTGAAGGGGTGTGCTGTTGGGACAAGAGGATAGGAATTTGGCTGGGTAAGGCTCGAGGCAAGATGGGGAGCGTGTGGCTGAGGCTGCCGAGTACCTGGAGTTCGTGGGACACGGGTGCTGTGCCCCCGGTGCCTCCCAAAGCATGCCAGACCCTAATTCGGGTTCATGGTGACACCCAAGCGTGCGATACTCCTTTCTCATAAAAAAGTAACTTGTCAATGGGGAGAAGCGGCTGTCAAAGCTAACAGTAAGGCCAAGCCAGGAGCAGAGCTCACAACAACCCCAAATTCCGAGGCTTTATGGTGCTGCTGCCGGAGGTGACCAGAGGAGAGAGGACGATAAACAACGCGGGTAATTTTCCACCAGAAGCAAACAAACGCCTTGGCTGCTCTTCCCTTCCCATATGTTGAGATAAAGCATCCGTGATAAACGCCGGAGTGCAGAGCAGTTTTTTTCTGCCCGTGCACGGCTGCTGGCGTGGAGGTGTCTGGGGCTGGGGGCGGCTCCACGGGGTCCCCAGCAGGTGCTGGTACCTGGGGGGCTGCCTGTTAACCTCAGAGCCTGGCAAATGCTACCCTGGATGGCCAAGAAAAGCAGCCAGGTGATGTCTAAAGGTTTTATTCTTGAACAAAATGAGTTCCTTCTGGCCCAAGACCACGCAGCAGCAGCACCCGAGGTGGTTGCAGCAGGAGCCGGCGCAGGGCGGAGGTGCCGGACACCCACTGCTTCCACTTCTCAGACCACCTTTTTCTTGGCTTTGGGGTAAGCTGCATCACGCTTCTGGGCTCTTCGCACATCCCACGTGTGGCTGTGTGTCCCCTGCTGTGTGAGCAGCAGTCCCCTGGTCCCCGCTGCCCGGCAGAGGAAGGAGCCACGCTGATGTCCCCCAGCTTTTGCTCGTACCTTTCTTCTGGAAAGGCATTTCCCTCCTCTTCTCCTTCTGACGTTTCCCAAGGGAGTTGCTGTCTTCAACGAAGAGATCCATCGTGTTTCCCCCCAGTCTCTGCTCTCATAAATCCTTCATCTTCCCAGAGACTGCTTTAGGCTCAGTCAGTGCCAAGTCTGATCCTTAACTACTCCAGCTCCCGCATCGGAGGGAGCAAATCCGGTTCCCCTCTTATCTCTTCGCCATCATTTTGTGTAGAAACCTCCTCTGAAGGCTGCAGAAATTCATCAGTTGGCACTCCAGGCTTCTCCAAGAGCTGCAGGTCGTTAGCAAGTGGCAGGATAGAGCTTCTGCAGGAGTAACTGGCTTTTAAGAATCGGCATCTGAATTTCAGATCCTCTGTTCCGCCAGCGTGGTGAGCTCCAGCTGTACTCGGGTACTGGAAATGCCACCGCATCCCTAATGCCTGGCACTTCCAGGGCTCCCGTGGGCTCTTACGCCTGCCCAAAGCACCGCAGGCAGGCGGCTGGCACTGAGCTGGGGGAACAGCATCGTGGAAAGGCATCGGCTGCAGGGTGGGCAGCACGGGTCTTAATTAGGGATGTGGAAGGTGCCTGTGTCTTCACGGAGCAGGTGCTCTTGCTTTTTTACTCCTCCTCTCCTGAAAGCTGCCTGCTGTTAAGCTAAGTGGGGTCTGTTTAACACCGTCCTCTTCAAGAGCGGTCTCCTGTGTTTCAGCCCGGTGAAGGTTCACGACCAAGGCTGTGACGAGGAGTGAGCTCCTTCCTTCCCTTCGATCCTTTCAAAGAGAAGGGGCAGCGGGGGCTCGGGGTGATGCCCTCCTCTCGGCATCCATCGTGCCAGCCGATGTGCGCGAAGGGAAGCGAGCGGCGCGCGTTGGGGAAGGGCGATTCGTTATCATTATTTCCTGGCATATTGATTCTCCGCTCCGACAAAAAAAAAAAAAGCTCTGTCACACTGACAGGCAGCGGTGACGGATGGCCCTGCTGCAGATGTGGCAGCAGCACGGCGCCTGCTCCAAAAAATGGCCCTGCCTGGGGTGGGGGAGCAGCCAGCCGGGGGGGCTGCAGGGCACTGCCTCTCCCTAGGGTCTGCAGGTACTGGGGTGCTCGTGCTGGGCTCACTGGTGCAGGATTGAGAGGGGATGGTGCTGGAGGGGATGTGGCTCAGGCTGGGGCAAGGTCGTTCTTCTGGCTCAGAGCACACGGCGTGATCCCAGAGGACCCCGAGTTCTGCAGGACCTCGCTCCTGAGCTTGTTTCCACGTTACCAAGTGGTCCCCTGAATTCCCCGGCAGCACGTTTCTCTTCCACACTTCCCAGCGTGGCTCAGTTTGGCATCTTCATTACTTCTGCCTGCTAATGGAGAGGCAGAGGTGGGCACCAGGTGGGACATCTCCAGAGCATCGTGTTTTGCCTGGGGTGTAGGGAGAGCTAAGCCAGAAACTCATCTTGAGCACCAGTTCTTCGGGAACCTACCGGGCTGGGAACTGTTTTATTCTTGGAGGTGTTTTTTTTCTTGCAGTAGCCTTTCTGCAGAGAGATGAAGCTCATCTAGGAGACAGCACTTAGCATTTACAAAGCTGTTTGTTCTGACTCTGCAAAACTATCCATAAACGTGGAAGGGGCAGATTACCTCCACTGCTTCTCTCTGAGCTCTGTTATGCTTCTGTCAAAGCTCACCAAACTGTATTTTTAATATCCCCAGGCTCCCATATTTTCTCGGCGTGCTGGTATTTGGATGTGCTCTCATTCATATTCATTCTTCCACCTGCAAGAACCATGGCAGAGCTGCCCTGTCTCTGAATCATCTCCTGAGTCAAGCAGGACAGGTGGCAGTCTGCAAGGGCTGCTCGTCTCGGAGGAAAAGACAACATCTTACAGCTAGAGCAGGGGGCAGCAGGGGATGCGACTGGACAGTGGTGACGAGATGCATCACAATTTTGCTTTGTGTCCCCCTTTTTTTTCCCCTCACAGTCTCATTTTCATCCTTCAGCTCAGAGGATGCTCAGAGCTCCAGGGGAGGGCAGATGAGACGAGCAGTGTCCTCTGAGCCCTGCTGGCTGCAGAGCTTCTCCGCGGTGCGTGGGCTTGGAGCGGGTCTAACACCTTGTAAATCAGGGCAGGCAAAGCCCTCGATTGCTTTTTAGGGACTGTACAAAACGTGGATCAAAACAAAGCTTTTGTGTAACCTCCTAGCAGTCCGTAGCAGCTTTGCTTTGTGGCCCTGGCTGCTGGTGGCCGCGGTGCCTGAAGGGCTCATCCCTGCGGCGTGGTGCTCGCCCGCTCCCTCCTGTGCGTACAGAGCGGGCTGAGGCTCTTTGATGACCCCGTGTCTGACTTCGCAGGGGTTCTTGCTGGCAAAGCAGCTGCTGGACAGTTGATGTGGCACCTGCAGGTGCCATGAAATATTGTGGTGTGAGTCCTCCAGCCCGCTGTGCGGGTAGAGGAGGATGGGAGCGGGAGCTTTGTGTGCCCGCAGGGTCCTGCGCTGCCTCTTGCCCGCTCGGAGCTGCCTGTCAGTCACAGCCTGCCAGCTTCTTTTCATCCTGATTTATCATCCGGCATAACCAGGCTTCAGAGTTTCATTTTGGGCTTGCCTCCTCCCAGGGACAGGCGGATAAATCTAGCATGCAAATGTTTTAACTCTCCGGTTCCAGGAGTGAGGCGAGCGGCTCACCTGCTGCAGGCAGCGAGAAAACAGCCCCCAGGGCAGGGCTGCTGCCAGCACGGGGCTGGAATCGGACCGGGGACCCATCCAGTCCTCCCAGCACCATCGTCCTAAAGGGCAGTGCATCTGCAAAGCAGCAGTGGGCAGGGGGAGCACAGCTCGCCTCGCTGAAAGCAGCACTGGCCTGGATCTCAGTGTTGGCTTATCGCTCCTCAGAACTCTAATTTCTGATGGGTTTAATCTCTGGCAGAAGTCTGTAAGGAAATAAAACCAAAGTGCATGGGAGTTGTAGCTTCTGAAGGGAGAGGTTTCGGCTCATCATTTGGGGAATCCACTGGGAAGCCGGGGCTGGAAATGGTGCTCAGCGCTCCTGGGCTGGGCTGGCTCTCCCGGAGCTGTGAAGGAATGGGTCGGCTGTCATCCCCCAGCCCTGGGTTTGTGGGGAGCTGTGAGGCTTGTCCTGCTGCTGGGAAACAGCTGGAAGTGAGAGGTTTCCTTGGGCAGTAAGAGAGAAAACGGGATGGTTGGGAAGTGCTTGGCACGGGGCTGCTGTGGGAGGGTGGAGGGGAACTGCTGAGAGAGGAGCCAGTGAGGTTTGGGGGTGCTGGGGAGGTGATGCTGGGGAGGTGATGCTGGGTTGTGGTGAACCCGGTCTCACTGGGGATGGAGGCAGCGAGCACCAACAGGTCTGCAACTCGCTTCTAGCCCCGTTCCTGGCGAGTTTTCCTGCCTCAGCTGCCCGCATTGGGCAGGCTGCTCCTGGGCACGGAGCGTGTGTCCTTGTCACCCTGTGCTCGGTACCGCTGGCCTGCCTCCGATGGCCATACAGCTGCCTGCTGCTCCGTTTAATTCCTCTGGTTTTTTATTTATGATGTTGAAAGCCATGCATAATACCGGTGTCAGCGGTTTGTTATTTCTCTCATTACCTGATAATTCATGGCCGGGCTCGGAGGCCTTTCCCCAGCGCAGGAGGCGGCTCTGCACGAGCCACCCTGGCCCATCCAGCGCCGGCGTCGGGCTGTAAATCTGCCTGCTTGTGCCCTGCCAGGCAGCTTGCTGCCCTGCTCCTTTTTAACTCCAGCCCGTGATTGTCCTTCCCAGGTGGATGTGATTTCTCTGATGCCAGAATTGGCTTTCTGCGGGTTTTATGTGCCATGCTAGGGATAATGGTCCAGCGATAGCTGCTGCTGGCTGGCGTTCCCAGCAGCAGAGTAAATGAGGGGATCAGCCCAAACACCTCCACTCCTTGTGCCCGTGGCACGGAGCTTTTTGTGAGAAGCCCTGCGAAACGCCGTTCGGCTCTTCCCCGACACGAGTGAAGGGTAGACGAGCAGACGTCGTGCCGAGAAGCGATGAATTTTAATAGCAGCTTTTCGGTGCTGTTTCAGTCCCTTCCAGACGGGCTGTGCCACCCTGGGATTAGCTGCAGCCAGCCTGTTCCTCCTGCCTGTTCCTCCTGCCTGTTCCTCCTGCCTGCCCGATGCCTGCCTGGTTCTGGCTCTGTCGTGCCTGACAGATCGCAGGGACAGGACAGCTCTGCGTGGCTGCTGCTCCCCTGCACCTGCCTGCGCTCGTAGGGGAGGGCTTGGAGGTGTTGCTCTGGTTGTAAGCATGTGGAAATATTGCTGGGCTCGGCTCTGCAGCCAGGCTTAGCCCTCTCTGCCTTTAGAGGTCAAAGCTCAGACATCTCAGGTGCTTCTAAATGGGGATATTTAGCCAAGGTGCAGAGCAAAGCACCCCTGGGGGCGTGGAGGAACAGGGCAGTGGTCCCAGCGAGAGCTGGGGCCAAGGCCAAGATGCTGCCGGGAGGAGGGCTGGGGGCAGCGCGGGGCCAGGCATGACCCCAAACCTTCTCTCTGTCTCTCCAGCCTTCATCCTCATGATCATCCTGGCCCTCATCCGCATCAGCAGAGGCCAGGCTGAAGGCCACCCCTCCATGGCCCAGCTGTCGGGCATCCGCAACCTCTTCGGGGTGTGCGTCTACTCCTTCATGTGCCAGCACTCGCTGCCCTCCCTCATCACGCCCATCTCCAAGAAGAGGCACGTCACCAAGCTGGTGCTGCTCGACTACGTCCTGATCCTGGCTTTCTACAGCCTCCTGTCCTTCACCGCCATTTACTGCTTCCGCAACGACACCCTGATGGACATGTACACCCTCAACTTCACCGACTGCGACATCGTCGGCGTCGCCTTCATCCGCTACTTCCTGGGCCTCTTCCCCGTCTTCACCATCAGCACCAACTTCCCCATCATCGCCGTCACCCTGCGCAACAACTGGAAGACCCTTTTCCACCGGGAAGGGGGCACCTACCCCTGGGTGGTGGACAGGATCGTCTTCCCGGCCATCACGCTCGTCCCCCCGGTGCTGGTGGCTTTCTGCACCCACGACCTGGAGTCCCTGGTGGGGATCACGGGCGCCTACGCCGGGAACGGGATCCAGTACCTCATCCCCGCCTGCCTCGCCTACTGCAGCCGCAAGGACACGCAGCTGGTTTTCGGCAGTGGGACGGTGAACAAGCACCTCTCCCCGTTCCGCCACACCTTCTGGATCGTCTTCGTGCTCGTCTGGGGCTTCTTTTGCTTTGTCTTTGTGACTGCCAACATCGTGCTGAGCGAGGCCAAGCTCTGACGGGGGGCGGCGCTCTCCCTCTCAGGTTCCAGAGACCGCGACCCTGCTGGGACTGGAGGGGAAGAGGTGGCGTGGAGGGAAACTTTTCCTCCAGGCTGTTGGCATGGCGGTGCAGGTCCCGCCTGGACACGGCCTTTTCCTCCCCCCGTGTGGGTGGAGAGGGCTCAGCCTCGTCCCCCTGGTTCTCAGCCCATCGCCGCCGCCTTCGGCTCCGTTTGAGCATCGCCGGGGGCGCTCCCCTGGTGCCGCGGGTTTCGGCACGTGGGGAGAGGCAGCCGGGGCTGCTCGCTGCAGCCATCAGCTCTGCTCCTTGCTCCCAAAGGCACGGACCCGCTGCGCACAGAACCAGCGGGGGGGGGGGGGAGAGGAGTCCCCAAAACCCGGGGAGCTGAGGGGAGGGGAAGGAAATCAGGGTGGGCACAGCCCTAGCTCGAAGCGAAGGACCCTGTGCTCTGTTACGCTTTCTTTTTCCGGAGGCATTAACCTGGTTGTGCTCTGGGGAAGGAACACCACGAGTTGCCCAGGATCTGGGATCTCTCAGAGCTGGATTTCTCCAGGCTGGGAATTTACTCTCACATTTCTCACCCTGCTCTTTGCTGCGGCGTGCCCGCAGGGCTGCAGCTTCGCGGCCTTGCTGCCCGCTGACTTCAGCTGGCAAAACCTTTTCCCGTTTCATACCAGGCTGGTGCAAGAGGCCAGACCCCGACGGCAGTGGTTAGGGTTTGTGTGGGCTGGGAAGGTGCTAATTGCCCAGTGCTGCCAGGCGTTACCTGCGAGAGCTCCGGCTGTGCGCACGGCTGCATCCCCAGCCTCCTGTGCTGGGTAATTAGCCTTGAAACGAGGTGGGTGTTAACTCAAGGGAGCAGGCAGGTGCCAGCAGGGGAGGGCAGTGCCATGGCTCAGCTCTGCCTCCTCCCTGCGGGAGCTGAGCTCCCAGGCCTTACAGGGGAGGGCAAATGAACTGGTCCTAAATCGGTCCCAAATCCCATCTCTCTTCTGCACAGGGTTGGGGTGGGTTTTGGCTGGTCCTGCTCAGCTCAGCTGGGTTTGCTGAGCCCCCAGGTGCCTCTGTGTGTGTGTCGGGCTGCCCCTTTCCTTATCCAGGCAGTGCTGGAGGTGATCAGTGCTGCTCTCCAGGCACTTCTGAGGCTTCTGTCGGTCACTGCAGCACCGCGCGGCCACAGCCAGCACCGCTTCGGGGGTGTGAGGCTCTCAGGCAAAGATCCGAGGGGTTTTTGTAACAAAAGGAAGAACTTAAGAAGTTTTCACCTGGAATATTTTAAATCCTTTTTTCTCCTCTGCCCTTCTTAAAGCAGGTTCAGAGCCAGGTGCATGTCCCTTACATCCTCTCCTCTTGCCCTCTGCACTTGCTGCAGCATTAAGTGTCACCGCGAGCTAGGAGCAAGCTTTGAACTGCAGCTCTTTTTAATCAAGCTCCGTTTTCAAGTAGGACTTTCTCCTTTCCATATGACCTGAAGTGCTCCTCCCGGGGGACTATGCAAGTACCTGGAGCTGTACAAAAACACTCGATGGTTTTTTTACAGCAGAGCCCTCCACCTCTCGAGCCCCAGCGCTGCGCCTGTGTCCTTGCCAAGCTGCTTGGAGAGGATGCAGGGGGCCTGCCTCTCTCTGCTCCAGCTCCATCCAAAACAGCCCTTGGCAGCCCTTGCTGGCGAATTTAAACATCCCCAGGTGCTGCGGGGAGGCTGATGGGGCATCCTCGCTGCCAGATGAACGTAGCTCCACGACACGTAGCTTCACAGGTGGCTGCTGCCTCGGCTGGGGTGTTTGGAGAGCAAAACCAGGGGGCAGCTGGGCTGGGGGCACCCTGCGGGGTGTGGGGCAGGCGTCTGCCACTGCCCCCTTCCCCTGCTCGCTCCCCAGCTCTTGCAGAGCCTCGGCTGCTGGATCTGAGCCCATCACAGGCACCCCGAAGGCTGGGGCACGCTGAGCTGAGCCCCCCCGGTCCTCCTGGTGCAGCTGCAGTGGGCGCAGCCAGCGGGAGGGATGCGATGCCAAGGGGACCAGGTGTGGGTTGATGCAGGGGGCCGAGGCTTTTCCTATCCCCCCTCAGCCTCCTGTCCTTTCATTCAGCTCAGCCCCAGCCCTCCGAGTGCTGGTTTCATGTCCTTGCTGCCCCATTTCAGTGCCAGCCAGAGCAGGGGCGCATCCATCACTGCTGTTACTGCACCTCCACTCATCCTCCTGTCCCCGCTCAGGGCTGCCCGCAGCCTCCCCTTCCCTCCTGCCCCTTTTTCCAGCAGCCTCCACATTCTGCAGGAGGCAGCAGGGGCTGGGCTGAGACCTCCCGGCCCTGCACACCCTCTCCTAGCCTCCTCCCAGGAGCTGCTCATCCCATCTCATGGGCTCACGTGCCCAGATGTGCCTTCTCTGCCCTGGCCTAGGTGAGCAGCTCTGCTGTGCCGTGGCACCTTGCCTGGAAGAGCTCTGGGGAGCACGAGAGGTTCCTGGATCAATAACCCAGAATATTCCCAGATGCCTGCAGCCCTCACGCAGCAGCAAACCCCACCTGTCCGAGAAATTGGGGTGATGAAGGGAGAGAAACTCAATTTTTCACCCCAAATGTGACAGCAATGCCTTAAAAACGACGGGGGGGGGGAAGCGGGCAGGGGGTGGCTCAGCAGAGGAGGGGCTGGGGGCCGGGTGCGAGCTCCCTCCTCTCACCGAGCAGCAGCAAACCTGGTTTGATTTGCCTGGTCCTGACACCACCGATTCATCCTTACAGGTTCTCACGCCGTGCTCGTCCCGACTGTAATCGGTTTTCAGAAAAAAAAGGGATTAAACCCAATAAAACGCACACACTACGGCTCTGCCTCGCCTCTTTCCTTCCCCTCCTCGCCAGGCAGCGGCTCCCGGGGGGGCTCCTGTGACGGATGGGGCCACGAGCCAAGGAGAAATGGCAAGCGGAGAGGCTAATAGAGACCTCACCTCTGCTTCCCCATTAGCCTCCCGCCGCTCGGGCTGGTGGCTGCAAACTCAATTAAAACATCTGCACTTTCCCCTTCTCAATTACATCTCCGTACACTTAAAACCAAACAAATTGAATCGCTCGGCTGCCTCGGGCGGCGAAGGCAAGTTTCTGCCAACAAATTTATTATGGCCATAAAGCGCGGCTTGATTTATGTTAAAATATTAAAACGCAGCTTTATGATGGAAATAAACACTTTCTGCCGTGGTTCTCTCCGAGGACCTCACAAGCAGCGGAGGATTTTGGGGCTCGGGCTGTAAATCTGGAGCCAAAGTGGCGGCGGGGATGGAGTCGGGCTTTTGTGGCACTTCAGGGAGCGACGGCCACGGACGGGGAAATAAAAACCTGGAGGCTGAGAAGGGGCTGGGGCAGGGCTTCGACCTCACCACACCTCGCCTCGGGGTGGCTGCACCGTCCCCGTGTGGGACCGACACCTTCCCGGCCCCTTCTCCTTTTCTGGTTGCAGATTCCCGATTTTAGGGAAAACCATTCCTAATGGGATAACTGGGGGTGGGCGCCTTGGGGCAGCTCCCGTGGACGCAGAGATGCCGGGGCTGGCAGAGGCAGGGGCTGAGCAGGGTGGGTGCCGGGGGGCGCGGTGCCGGCAGCGGTTTCCTCGCCCAGGGTGCACACGGCCAGCAGCCCAGGGCAGCGCGGGTGCCAGAGGCAGCCAAATTAAAAAGTGATTGATTAGCCCATCTCGCCGGGAAGAAATAGCACGGCTCGGAGGCTGCTAAGCATTAAATACCCAACTTCTGCTTTGGGCAGCCCGGAGCCGCCACCGACCGACCTCTGGGCTGCTCCTCTCCCATCAGCACCCCGAGTTACCCCCAGAAAAGCAGCTTTTCCCATCCCAATTAGCAACTAAATTAGATATGCAAATACCTCCACCATGGGGGGGGACCTGGGTGCTGGGGGCACATGGGGGAGCCCCTGGCCCTGGCTGCCCGACCCCGGGTCCAGCCGTGAGCCCTGTGGGCACCCACCCCCGGGCCACCTCTCCTGGCAGCACCCCGGGGTGCCCCATCCCTCGCTGCCCTCCGCCTCCCGCAGCAAAACCCTTCAATAAAACATGAGGAGAATCCATTTGTCTTCTGCTGAGTCACCGGGGATATAACTAATTAATATAAAACGTGGGTTGGGGATTTTTTTTTCCGGCCCCTTTTCCGCTCTGTTTTTTTCCTACAGCCCCCAAACCCTGCTCAGGCTCGGCCTCGGACCCCGCTGAGCCCAGCTGAAGTTGCCATGCTCTGTGCTGGATTTTTGGGCCAGAAAGCCACAATTTGGGGGGAAAACTCCCCAGGGCACTTGGAGCCTGGTGGGGAGCAGCCTGGCCGGAGCTGCCCCATGCAAAGTGGTGCCATGGGCAGGGGTGGCACGGGAAAGCTCCCCCCCACCAGCTTCATTCATTTACCACCTTTAGTTTTCCATCGCCACCTTCCTCCCTCCCCGAGTGGCCTTCGGAGGGGCTGCCAAAGCAATTAAGAGACAATTGCAGTGATAAATAAGTAACGGGAATTAAAGTGTCAGCGCCGGCGCGCGATGGCAGCCAGGCTGCGGGGAGGGGGGGGGGGAGGTGGGACACTGCCTGGGTTTCGCCCCAGCCAGATGGACGGGTGGATGGATGGACAGATGGACGGACAGGCCTTGCCAATGCTTCTGTCCCCGGGCAAGGAGCGTTCAGGCCTTTCCTGACCTCTGTGGGGCTTGGCAGCCACCCCTTTGGTGCCCTTGCCCAGCAGCCACCCGACTGGCTGCATCGGGATGGGGCAAGGGAAGGAGGAGCGAGCCTGCGGGGACCCAGGGGTGGTGGCCCTGTGGGACACCTTGGACCTTCTGTGCTGGTAATGAGGGCTGAAACCAGCAGGTTGGAACGGGATTAAGGACATTTCCCCCAGATCTTGCTCCGTGGGTGCTCTCCCAGCCTGCGCCCGGGGGCAGTGGTGCCAGCCGGGCACGGGGACACGAGCGGGGCTGGGGCTCAGGAGCTCGGGCATTGCTGTGGCTGGGGGGACAAAGCCAAGGGCAGCACGGGGCTCATGGCCAGCGATGGAAGAAGGGTCCCCAGCTGGTTTAAAATGTCTCTTTAATGACCTAGACGTGGAGCTTTGAGTCCCTTGAATGAGCCAAAACATGACGGAAACGCGGCAGCGATGAGTTCGGCGTCCCCGGCCAGCCCTGCCTGCGGGGCCAACCCAGTCCGGCCCCGAGGAGGCTCCCCCAGCCCCCAGAGGGCACGGACCCGGCTTGGAGCATCCCGCTGCCAGCAGTGGAGGACCCCGGGGTGCTCGAGCACATCCCCGGGAGGAGCACCGTGCCGCAGCCCAGCCAGGAGCCACCGGCTCATCCGTGGGGAAGCCGAGCAAGGGGCACTTTGCTTTCCTCCCCCTGGAGAGGAGGGGAGCAAGCACAGCCCACACGGCCCCCGTGTCCCCCCTCACACCTCCGACTCCAGGCTGGAGACCCTCCGCCAGGACCCGCCGGCGCAGGGGCTCGCCACCCCGCGAGCCGCCAGCCTCTCCGGCCCCACCGCCCGCAGAAAGCCCGGCTCCCCGCGCCTCCCCCAGCCTCTGCAGGCTCCGTCCCAGCGCCCCGAGCCCCGGCCACCCCCCAGCACCCCAAGGTGCTCGCGGGGTGGCGGGGACCCACGGGAGAGGTGCCCTAAATAGAGGGGCAGGTGAGCGCACGAGTCCACGTAGGCGTAGGGCGCGCACGCGGTGCCGCGGGGCTTTTGCCGGCACGCTTCCCGGTACGACGGCAGCCGTGCCATGGGCGAGCTCAGTGCCCTGCCCGGCCCCACCAGCCGCCCGGCGGCCTCGGGGCAGTGGGGGCCGCAGCTGTGGGCGGCCTCGGCTTCGGGGAAGAGGTCGGGGATGTCGGTGCGGGCGGTGGGTTGGTGGGTGCCGCAGTGTCGCAGCGCCGTGGCTCGGTGCTTCTCGCCCCGCTCCCAGGACGCCCTGGCCGTGCTCGCCCGGTGGCTCGGATGCTCCCGCTCCGCTCTGCAAGTCCTGGTGGCTTTTGGGAAGGAGCTGCGGGCACAGGCGGGGGGCAGGGAAGGGTTTCCCACCTCCCTCCTCGTCTCCAAGGTGGGGAGCAGCCGGGGCACTGTCCCCAAGCCCTGGTGTCCCCCATCCACGTAGAGCAGGGGGGTGTTGGGCAGCCGGTCCCCCCGCTTGTGCTCCCTGTAGATGTCCGGCAGCGGGAGCTCCCTGGGCGGTGTCGGGGTGCCGATGGGGGCGCCGATGTGGTTCCCCATCACCGTGTGCTCCCCAAAATCCTCCTCTGGCGCTGTCTTCGCCAGGAGATGAGGCAAGCTGCCCACCACGCAGCCCCGGGGGGCTTTGTCCCCGGCACAGCCCCCCCGAAACTTCAGGGGGTGAAGGACACGGGGGACACGCTCGCTCGCTGCCCTCCGCTTCTCCTCCCCGGGCAGCCGCGAGTCCACGGGGATGGGCAGGGGGAGCCCCGGGGGGGCCCCCTTGGCAGCGGGGGCTCTGCCCAGCCTCTCGGCGGGGGCCGGGCCGGAGGAGAGGCCCCGGTGGGTGCCGGTGCTGTTCTGCACCACGAGCTGGGGTGTCCTGAGCGAGAAGGTGGTCTGCAGGTGCTCGCTGCGGCTGCTCCAGTCCTCGATGGTGCGCGTGGCGTGCTCCAGCGAGCCGCCCACGCTGGCTGTCGACACCATGTCCTTGGCGGCCTGCAGCATCTTCAGCACGTTGGCTTGGGCCGAGCTCGCCGTCACGTCGGGCGTGGGCGCCCGCCTGGGGCTGGGCAGGGTCTGCACCCCGCTGAAGCAGCTGTAAATGCCCTGCGGGGAGAGCAGCGACCGCGCACCGTCAGCCATGCGCCCTCCAAGCCATGCAAGGGCACGAGAAGTCGTTTGGGTGGGATGGGAAGAGCCAGGAGCTGGCCTGAGATGGGTCGATTGGGTGAAGGCAAAGCCAAAATCTCCATGTGAGCCCCCTGCCCCACCTCATGGTGGCTCCTGCCCCCCATCACTCACCCAGCACCACCCCAGGCACCGAAAAGCCAGCAGAGACCAAAGCCCCGACGCGATGTCCCCTCCCTGGTATCCCCTCCCCAACATCCCCAGCACCACCGGGGCAGGGGGCACGCACCCTGCTGATGGCCAGGAGGAAGTCGAGCTTGTGGGATTTGGGGACGTTGTGCCGCAGCTTCCAGTAGACGAGGTGCTCCCAGGCGAAGACCAGCAGGCTGAGCCCCATGGCCACCAGCAGCATGTAGAAGACCCCGGCCATGTTGTCGATGTCCAGCTTGCTGCTCATCACCTCGTTCTTCTCGTTCTGGCAGATCCCCGACAGCCACACCGTCTCCAGCTTCTGGGTCTCCCCTAGGGCCGGGCAGAGCCACGGGGTGGGGGGTGAAAACCCACCGCGGGTACCCAGCACAGCCCCCGGAGGATAAAATCCCCCCCAACCCACTGGAGATGCTCTTGGCTCAGCCCTCAGCCTGAGCATCCCCTGGATCCTCCAGGATTTCTGCCATCTCATTTGTACCAGCTGTGCCCTGTCCCCTCCTCACATCCCAGCCCCTCCGATTTGGGATTTGGATTTGGGATTGGGATATGGCCATTTGGGATTTTCCAGCCTTCGAGAAGAAAGGAGACCCCCGAGGGGATAACCCCCACCCACCCAACTGCAGAATCACAGCCTGGTTTAAAGCCACCTCGAAGCTGCAACCCACCTCCCCCCAGCCCCTCGGGACCACCCTCCAATGACCCACAGAGCACGGGACCCCCGAGAATCTGCCCCGGGCACCCCACCATCTCCCAGGAACTGCAGCAGGGCCAGGTCGATGGCCCGCTTCCAGCGCGAGTCCTTCTGCAGGGCGATGCCGTAGCCGGTGGTGGCGAACACCTTCCCCGAGCCGATGGTCACCAGCTTGCAGCCCTCGTCCTTGCCCGCCATGTAGTTGAGCACCGCCGCGTCGTAGATGAAGGCGTCCAGCTTCCTGCCCGCCGCCGGGAGGGACGGGTGAGGGAGGGTCTCGTATTGGGGGTGCAGACCCCTTTTTGGGGAGCTGTGCCTCTTTCGGGTGGCTGTGACCCAGCGGGAGTGGATGAGGCACTTTTTTTGGGGGGTCTTAACCCCGGCTTGGGGAGCCAAAAACCCATCTGGGGGTGAGGAGCCCAATCTGGGGTGGACACATCCTATTTGGGGGGGGGCCTGTAGGGAGCTCTATGCCCTCTGCATGGGGTTGTACACTTTTTTGGGGGGGTATATCCCATTTGGGCAAGTTTTATGGAGCCATACCCCGTCTTGGAGAGCTTGCTTGGAGGGGCTGACCCCATTTCAGAGGCCATGCCCCCCCGGGAGGATCGCCCCATGCCGCGGGGAGCCATACGGAGCTGTGCTTCACCCGGGGGACCCCCACCCCAGCCCGGGGGGGGGCCGTACCCCATCTTGAGGCTGGTGAGGGCGTCCTCCACGGAGCGCTGGTTGTACTTCACCATGTGGGTGTGCATGTCGGGGTAGTTGCTGCGGATGTTCCTCTCCGTGCTGCCGTTGGGGACGGTGCCGAAGCGGAAGGGGGGGTACTGCTCCTGCGGCTTCTGGAACTGCAGCGCGGAGCCCAGCAGCTCCGTCACACGGGGACCGTGTCCCCCCAATCCCCCCCAAGTCCCCCCATGGCCCCACCAGGTCCCCCCGTGTCCCCACCACGTCCCCAAAGCCACCCATCCCTCCTCCCACCCATGCACAACCGGGCTGGTGCAAAGATGCGCCCCCACGTCCCCGGGGGAAGGTGTCCCCAACCCAGATAACCTTAATTTTTTGGGGAGGACCTGGGGGAGAAGCGTGCGCCCCCACCTTCCTGTCGCTCAGCCCCGACACGGTGTCGATGTACTGCTCCTGGATCATGAAGGCGGCCAGGTTGGCCGTGTAGCTGGCGAGGAAGATGACGGCGAAGAAGGCCCAGACCAGCACCATGATCTTGCTGGTGGTGCCCTTGGGGTTCTCGATGGGCACGGAGTTGTTGAAGACCAGGGCCCACAGCAGCCACACCGACTTGCCGATGGTGAAGGAGGGACCACCCGGCCCTGGTAGGGACGGGGGACGGAGGGGACAGGCATCAGCACGGCTGGGGACGCGTCCCCCCCCCACCCCACAGCCGCCTCCCCAACTCTCACGTTTGCCGCTGGTGAGGTTCTGGTTGTAGCCCACGGGGCTGAAGTACTCGAACACGAAGACGGTGACGGCCACCACGGTGAGGCACATGACGAACATCATCACCCACACGGCCGGGCTGTAGGGCTCTGCAAAGGGCAGGGGGGTCCCCATGGGTCCCGGGACGTGTCCCCATATCCCCGTAGGGACACCCTGGAGCCCTCCCCAAAAGCCTGGGCTCGATGTCCCGAATATCACCGGGCAGATCCTCGGTGAGCCGAGAGGGACGGGGGCTGCTGCGAGGGGGACGTGCTGGAATACCATCGGCAGGGGGATGCTCGGGGGATGCTGCTCACCTCTGGGGCCATCCGTGGGGGTTTCCCATGGGATCAGAGGTTACCTACCCCCTGCACTGCCCCCAGGCTCCACAGGGGATGTGGGGGGCGCGTGCTCAGGGCCACCCCTGTCCTCCGCCGTGTCCCAGCCCCGCTCCGGCCAGGCTGGGCTCTTGTCTCTGTGCCCCCATGGAAAGCCTCAAGGACCCCCCCCGGGTTTCCAGCCTGAATTTCGTGGTGGCCTTGGCCGCTCTCCTCTCCTCCCTAGGCTGCAGTTCTGCTCGTTTAAAACTCACGGGAAGTTTTAGCCCCAGCGGCTGGGATTTCCCAGTTTAGGTTGGCCCTGGCAAGGGCAGCAGGGGGCTCGGGTCCCCAGGCAGGGCTCTGCCAGCAAACCCCCGGCTCCTCTGACCCCAAACCTTCATCCTTCCTCTGCCGTGTGAATAACTACGAGGAAAACCCACTCCCTGCCCCAATCTCCATACTAACGGGATTACTTGGGCAAGAGGAGGAGAAATCCCCGACGGCAGCCCCGCAGCCTTCCCCTGCGGCTCACAAACAGGATTTTTTTTTTCCAAAATGATTAAAACCCAGCAACATTTCCCACCCGCCCCTGCAGGAGGACCGGGGTCAGCCCGCCTGCGCTCACCGAGGAAGGCGGAGGGCGAGACGGTGCCGTTGCTCCTGGCCACCATCACGCTGATGCCGGTCTCCACGAAGGGCACGGAGAAGTCAACGATCTCGGAGCGCTCCTCGTTGATGGTGAGGGAGCCGATGGCCATGTCGGCACGCCGGTAATACACCTGGGGGGGCAGGGAGAGCTCAGGGCAGGAGGACGAGGAGGAGGAGGAGGAGGAGGAGGAGGAGGAGATGCCCGGCGCCCCCCTACCTCCCCGATCATGCCGTTCCACACCCCGCGGACGATCTTGCCGTGCTTGCCGTTGGTCACCAGGTAGAGGTCGTAGGAGAACTTGACCGCCTTGGCCAGCTTCTTCAGGATGTCAATGCAGAAGCCCTTGCAGCACAGCTTGGTGTAGGGGTCCACCAGGCCATCGCCACTGAAAGCGCAATGAGAAAATGTGGGTCCGGGTCCCCACGGAAAGAGGAAAGGGGAATAAGGGGAAAGCAGCAAAAGGGGGAAAAGATGAAAGGAGAAAAAAGGGGAGGGGAAAAAGTGGAAAGGGAAAAAAGAAGAATTGGGAAGAGAAAGGGGAGAGAAGAAAGAGAAAAGGGATAAAGGGGAAAGGGAATAGGAAAGGGGTATGGGGAAGGGAGAAAAGGGAAGAAAGGAGAGGAAAGGGGAAGGAGGAAAAGGGAAAGGGAAAGGGAAAGGGAAAGGGAAAGGGAAAGGGAAAGGGAAAGGGAAAGGGAAAGGGAAAGGGAAAGGGAAAGGGAAAGGGAAAGGGAAAGGGAAAGGGAAAGGGAAAGGGAAAGGGAAAGGGGAACAGGGAAGAGGAGGAGCAGGAGCAAGCGGGGAAGGGGAAGGGGAAGGGGAAGGGGAAGGGGAAGGGGAAGGGGAAGGGGAAGGGGAAGGGGAAGGGGAAGGGGAAGGGGAAGGGGAAGGGGAAGGGGAAGGGGAAGGGGAAGGGGAAGGGGAAGGGGAAGGGGAAGGAGAAGGAGAAGGAGAAGGAGAAGGAGAAGGAGAAGGAGAAGGAGAAGGAGAAGGAGAAGGAGAAGGAGAAGGAGAAGGAGAAGGAGAAGGAGAAGGAGAAGGAGAAGGAGAAGGAGAAGGAGAAGGAGAAGGAGAAGGAGAAGGAGAAGGAGAAGGAGAAGGAGAAGGAGAAGGAGAAGGAGAAGGAGAAGGAGAAGGAGAAGGAGAAGGAGAAGGAGAAGGAGGGGACACTGCTGGTGTCCCCCAGCCCCCAGTGGGTAAGCACGGAGCCTTTCCCAGCACCCCCACAGCCAGGCAGGCAGCGGGGCCCCCTCCTGCCCTGCCTCCAGCCCTGTCCCAGATGAAGCCAGCACCTTCCCAGCCCCTGCCCGTGTCCCGGGGGGTGGCGGGGATGGGGCCAGCAGCCCCGCTCACCTGGCGGAGGCGTTGGTCTGCTTGCGGCAGGGCACGGTGTTGCGCACGCAGACGCCGGTGCTGGGGTCGGTGTTCTCCACGATGACGAAGGGTCGCTCCTCCAGCGTGGCCACCGTCAGGTGCCGGTTGTCCACCACGGGCTGCAGGAAGGCGCCGTAGCGGGGCCACACCGGGTACTTCATGTGGATGATGCCGTGCTCCCATTTCCCCACCTGCCCCGGGCGAGAGGACATCATCACCAGGGGGGACATGGGGGGGGTCCCCGTGCCCTCGGGGCTCGTCCCCCACCTCAGAGCATCGTTAGGTTGGGGCTCAGCCACGGTGAGCCTGAGCCCAGCTCCCCCCTGCTCTGGTTCTTTACACCAGTGTCCACAGGCTGAGGGTTTTTTTCTTGGGGTTACGGCCGCACCAGAGTGCAAAAGTGGCCAAATTTCACCCAAAATTGTTTTAAACTGAAAAAAAAAAAACCACCCGTAGAAAGCACCTCAGGGCGCACGGTGCTGCACGGGGAGGCTCATGGGGGGGAGAAAATTCATCTGCAGGGGGAAAATACTGCGGGGACAAAGCCAGGGGCACGCGCCGGGGCTGGGGGATCTGCAGGGCCCCCATTTGGCAGGGACAACACCAAAAGAGCCCTGGTGTCAGCCCTGGAGCTTGCATGGTTCAACCCGGTGTGCGTTTTGGGGGGGTCCCGGCCCGTGCCCGGCCCCCGGGCTCCTACCATCTCCCAGAGCCGGTGCTGGTTGAGCGAGATGACCACCATGGTGGGCCGCACCAGGTAGCCGCCCTCGTTGAAGGAGAAGTCGCGGTGCTCCCACGTCACGTTGAGGAGGTGCCTGGTGGGGACACGGCGCACGGTGAGCCCGAACCCTGCACCCCACACGGCCCCGGCTCCCCCTGCCTCCAGCTGGGGTCCTGGGTCCCAAAAACACCAGGAGGAGATGTGGGGCCGGGAGAGGAGCCCCGCTTCACCAGCTCCATCGCCCTCCCTTCCCCTTCCCCTCCCCTCCTCCATCTCCCCAAATCCCCCCCACAACACGGAGCCCCCCGGGACCTCACCGGTAGAAGCTGCTGTTGGCCACGGCGCCGGCGGGTGCCCGGCAATCCCTCCCCACGTCCGGGAGGAAGCCGTGGGCTCGGAAGAAGCCGGCCGCCCCCATGGCGATGATGGCCACCCCGTCCCGCACCTTCTGCCGCAGGCTGAGCTTCCAGCTCTCCGTCACCACGCTGATGAGGCCGACGGGGAAGGAGGCGGGCGGCAGCTCCATGTTGCCCACCGTCAGGCTGGGCACGATCCAGACGTAGCCCGGCCCCACGAGGCCGGCTTGCTCAGCCATGGAGAAGAGGAACTCGGCCTCGTCCCGCGAGCAGTAGGCGATGAGCACCTGGGCGTCCAGCTGCCGCAGGAGCCGCTGCGTCCTGGAGCCGCTGCGCTCCTGGCTCATCTCGAAGGTGAGCACCTCCTGCAGCTCCCAGCCGAAGTAGCTGGCGTCCGTGAAGGCGCGGATGACGTCCAGGAAGATGTTGTAGCCCGGGTAGAGGCTGGTGATGACGGCGAAGGAGCCCCAGTCGTATTCCTCCAGCACCTTGAAGATCACCTGGATCTGCTGCTCGATGGAGACGCCCAGCTGCAGGAAGGCCGAGCCGGGCTCCTGCGGGACGAGGAGCAGTCAGGGGGTGCTTGGCACCACGGCGCCCTTGTGGACCCCCGTGGAGAGCTGGAGGAGCTATGGGACAGTGGGGGCCGTGGGGTGGGGACACCCAAAATGGGACCAGTTCATCCCCACGGGATCCGCCGAGCCGTGGCCACCACCAAACTGCTCAGGGCCAAGTGGTCCCGGGGTGTTGGCCAAAACCCATCCAGGGGTGTCCAGCAGAGGCCGGGCGCTTCCCGCATCGTGCCGGGGAGCAGCTCCCGCCCCGCTACCTGCAGTCACCTCCCATCGCCCGCCCCACCTCCGCGGCCATCTGGCCTCTCATTAGCAAATCTTAATTGAGCTGATTCTGTCTTAAATGATGCAGCGAATGGCATTTGCAGAAGGTCACGAGCAGGCAGCAGCGTTTCGCCACGCAGACCGCCTCCACCTCCAGATTTTTTTTTTTCCTTTGAAGCCACAGATGTGCCCAGAGGGGGCCGGGGAGTGGGGGCACCACCCCTTAAACCCCCTCAAGGATAGCTGCAGGACACCAGCCTACAGCAACGGGGTGGATCCAGCCATGGCCACCTCACACACTGCCACCTACCCGGGGAGCCTGGTGCAGGCAGAGGTGCAGAGGGGACACCCAGGGGGTTTAGACCCCAGAGCATGAAAGCAACCCCTAAACAGCTTGGGGGGGTGGCCAGATGTTTGCCCCTGCCCTGAAAAGCACAGCTGGGATCCCTCTGAGCAGCTGATGCCATGAACCAGCACCAGGACCCCCCCCCAGGTGCCGGGTACAGGACAAGCACCCAGGGAGGGGATGAGAGGGGGGATGAGCCAAATCCTGCCTGGAAAGCCAGGGAGTCACCCCCCCGGGGAACAACCCCGGTGAAAGCCTCACCTTCGGGGTGAGGACCACCGCAGACCCCCCGCTGATGCTGATGACGGGGACCTGGGTCTGGGAGGAGACGAAGTCAAGGATCTGCGCCACCGCCTCGGTGCCGACGTTGTCCTCGAAGACGATGCCGTGGATCTTGTGGCTGGCCAGGACGCTGCAGATGTGGGTGAGGAGGCTGCTGGGGTTGGTGTCGTTGACGATGACGGTGATGGGGTGGATCTCCAGGGGCATGTCCAGGAAGCTCTGGGGGCTCAGGCGGGAGCGGATGTGCAGTGGGTAGGACGTGCCCCCGAACACCACGGCCACGTTGACCACCGGCTCCTCGGGGCCGGGCAGCAGGATGTCGCTGAAGGCGGCCGAGCAGCCCAGCACCAGCGACAGAAGCAGAGCGGGTGCCGGCGCTCTGCCCATGTCCACCGCCACGTCCCTGTGGGGACGGACACAGCCCCTCGCATCCAGCCCTCCGCCAGGACCCCCGCTCGCCCAGACCCCCCCCCTCTGTGCGCCATCCCAGGGCGGGTGACCCCCATAAACGAGGGGACCCTCATCCTTCAGAGGCTGGATGCGGTGCAGGGGTGAGCACAGGGCTGCACCCCCCAGCTCAGCCCCTTTGGGGGTGCTGGTGCCCAGTGCCACATCCCCACAGATCCTTCCCATCTGGTCCCTGCTTCCCACCCCCTAACATCCCCACCCCACCACCTCCGTGCCCTTCCAGCCCCGCTGCCCTCCTTCCCCTGCAGGCCCCCACTGTCAGGATGCTTTTTCTTGCCCCCTTGGCAAGAGGTGGCAGGAGCTAGAGGTGGCAGGAGGAGCTGGATGCTCCTTCACGCCTCCCTCCGCAGCTGACAGGCACCTGAAATATTTAAGGGCTGAAAGCTGGCGTCCCCCTCCGCACCCTCCTCTGCAGCGCAGAGCAGCTCCCCGGCCAGCCAAAGGGGTTCGGGGTGCAGCGGGGCTGGGGACGGGCAGAAAGATCCCCTCGGCTCCTGCCCCAAGCCCCCACCAGCATGCGGGGAGGCTGCCTGCCTGCCTGGTGCCTGCAAACACCAAATTCCCCCATCAGCGCCTCCTCCGCCAGCTTCGGCCGTGCTGGCACCCAGGTTGAGCACGCAGGGTGAGAGCAGCGCTTATAGAGGGGTGAAAAAAAAAATAAATCACCTTTAGCTGCCTGCCAGCAATGCAATATCTGATTTTTGGCTCTCCAGGGCTGGTAGTGACCCCTTCCCACCAGCCACAGCTGCTTCACTGGGGCAGGAGCCCCCCTGCACCACGCGTGCCCCGCAGGTGCCCTTCTCTCCCCCCGGCCCCGGGGCTGTGCGAGGTGGCCGAGCAGCCCGGGGAGCTGGGAGCCACCCGAAAGGTGCCCTTGTGGGAGGATTCAGCCGCACGGAGCCCTGCCTCGGGGCTCTGCAGCGCCTGCCACCCCAGCGCATCCAACACGCCAGCCTGTGCCAGGGGGTGACATCCCCCCGGGGCTGTGCACGGCGCAGCTCCCCTGTGCCGGAGCTCACCCTACAATTAAAAGCTGCAGGGAACGCCGACTCCGCTCCCTCCCCAAGCCCTGTTGCCCCAGGGCCACCACCGGCCACGGTGGCGCTGGCCATGGCCCGGTGTCACTGCGTGCAGCGAGGTGCCAGCTGCCAGCTGGCGCTCGGAATCGTCACTGGCAATTAAAAGCCACTGCTGCTTAACGAGCCCTCGGCACAGCCCGAGGTTGGGGCTGGATTCGGGGTGCGGGCTGCCCTGGGGACCCCTCCACGCCAATGCTCAGCCCCTCGGCACGCAACTCCCTCGGTGCCAAAAACACCGCCAGAATTTGGGACGGAAACCCACAAAATGACCCCAAGGAGTGCGCCCTGATGCCAGCACCCGGCATCGCAGCGTGGGCATCAGCTTGGGGGCAGGGGCACGGCCACCCCCGGCACCCCACCCTACGGCACTGGGGGGTGCTCCCTGCCCACCTGGCCCTCCTCCTGCCACCCCACACCGCGGCAGCCACGACGCCAAGGCGATGGCCGCGGCCCCTTGGCCGGGGAGGGCGGCCGGTGACTCATGTTGGCACCGTCCCACGCTACGGCACGGCCGGGCTGGCCCCCGCCGCCCGCTCCTCGCCGCCATTCCCGGGTATTTTTAGTCCCGAGATAAATAATTCATCGGGAATCCAGCACCGGCTACCCGAGCGGGGAGGAAGGGGAGCAGCACGCCACCCAAAACAAACAGAGCCGCCCTCCCAGCGGCTTTGCCCGGCTGATTCCTCCTCAAGGACGTTTAAATATACCCCGGGCCCTCGCGGTGGCTGATCGGGCTCCTTCCTCCAGCCCTGGTGCTTCTCCCATCCCCAACCAGCACGGGACGGCCGGGCTGCAAATCCTCCTCCTCTTCCTCACACCTGGGTTTGGGGGGACTCCTCCGGCACCGGTTAATCCGCACACAGACTCCAAAAAAACCCTTCCTGCAAAGCCAGGTGCTGCCTGCAAAGGTGCTGCTCCCAACCAGGCTCCGAATGGGGACGGATTTGGGGAAAACGGACCAAAAGCGAGCCCCTGGCCCTCGCTCCCAGAGCACGGTGATGATTGCAGGGACAGGAGGTGGGCACGGGCTCAAAACCGTGTTGAGCCACCGCTCAGATCACCGGGGGAATAAATCCCCGTCCTTGCCAGGGAGACAGCGTGGAGGGGCTGGGGCTGTGGGGCTGGGGTCGGAGCAGCAGCGGGGTGCAGCATCGTGCCCGCTGGGGCTTCAGAGGAGGCTGGCGGGGGCTTGAGGCTGGCCGAGCCCCTCGGGCAGCTGGTGGGGCTTGGGTCGGGGTCAGCCCCGCTCCAAAATATCCGGGTTTGGGCTGCAAAGCGCAGGGAGGAGCTGGGGCGCAGCCAGCGCAGTGCCCCACAGCTTCTTCTTCTTCTGGGGGGGGTGGGAAAATGGGATTTGGGGGGAGAAGGCGAACACAGGAAGGCTGCTGGAGGCGGAGGAGGAGGAGGATGACTTGGCACGTCCTGCTTGGTGCCCCAGGACATTTGCTGAACCCCGCTGTCACCGTGCACCTGGGGCACAGCAATGCCACCTCCCTGCAGCCTCCCCGGGGATGACAGGACACCAACGGGGCCGCTCCGTGGCTTTTTGGTGCTTTTGGGGTGTTTCTGACAGCTTTCCTCTGCGCAGCTTCACCCGAGAAGCCAAGCGCTCGCAGAAACCTGCTCCAGGCACTGCTCCAGCCCTCACCATCCTCCACCTCCCGAAATGTTATTTTAATGCAACAGGGAAAGTTTGCTCCTGGTTTTAAACCTCCTTCCCCCATCCCTCCCTCCCCTGCTCCGAGCCCCAACGCAGCCAGGGCAGAGCTCCTGCAGATATTTTGACCTCAGGGAGGGGAGAAATAAAACCCCGAAACGCAAAACACCTCCCGAGGAAGAGAAACCTTATCCCAAAAAAAAAGCCTCCGAGCCTGAAAACCACGGGGAAGGGACAGAGCGGGCAGGGAAGGGGATGGAAAGGACAGAAGGAAGCGGACCCTGGCGGGGATGGATGCTCGGGGCACTGCTGGGGGTGGGAACCGGGCTTGGTGCTGCCAACGGAGCCCCCCGAAAGAGGAAAAGCAGCAAAACCTCCCCAAAACCTCCCCAAAACCAACTCTTGGCTGGGGACCTGGGGATTGTGGGGGGGGGGAGAAGCGGCGGCAGCCAGCGGCGAGCGCCGTCTCCTTTCAACCTTCATCCTCCAGCACCCAGCATCACCTTCCTCCTCATCACCTTCCTCCTCATCCCCTTCCTCCTCCTCCTCCTCACCGGGCACCAGTTGCGGGCAGGGTCCCGGCGGACCCCGCAGCCGCACGCACCCAAACGCAGCTTAGGAAAGGTCGAAGCTGGATTAACCCAAAATAAACCCCCAGCGTCCTCCTCCCGCTGCGTTACGCAAGGTGCTGGGGGGACAGGGCTGGGGGCACCAAGGGGGGGGCCCTTTATTATTTTTTTTTTGGGTGGGGGGCTCCCTCCCACCCTCCTTAAAAACAACCCAAGCTTAATTTTCATCCTCCCCCCAGGACGTGGGGATGCTGGAGCAGAGGGGACGGGTTAGGAAACAACCCAAGCAGCCCCCCCCCCCGAATAAAATCCCACCCGACTCCCCCCCAAAAGTTCCTCCCGGTGGCAGCGGAGCCCGTCGGGGGGGCTCGGCCGCCCCCAACCCGCCCGGTACTTACGGGACCAGCGCTGCTCCGGCTGCCTACATGCCCCGCACCTCCGGGGGGGGCTGCACGTCCCGGGGCCGGGGCACGGCTCCCAGGGCCCCCCCCCTCGCCGCGGGGCAGCCCCCGGGGGCAGGAGCGGTCCCCGGTGCGCCCGGTGCGCCCGGCCCGGCTGCGGGATGCGCGGGGGAAGGGGAAGGGGAAGGGATGGGGTGGGATGTAGGGTGGGGAGCCGGGGGGCAGGGGGGGCGGGGGGGGGGGTCCAGCGGCCGCCCGTCGGTCCCGGACTCGTCCTTGGAAGAGGAGGAGGAGGAGGAGGAGGAGGAAGCTCTGCAGCTGCGGCAGGGATGGGAGCGGAGGAAGGAGGGAGCGGGGTGGGTGCGCACGGGAGGGGGGGGCCCGAGCTCGCCCGATGCCAGCAGGTGTTTTTTGGGTTTTTTTTGGGGGGGGTGGGGGAGGACAGAGGGGACGGGCTCCCCCCCACCCCCCCACCCCGGCTTCATGCCGGCCGCCCCCCCGTAGCCATGCCCCGGGACGGCCGGGGGGAGCCGGCGGTGCTGGGGGCCGGAGGCTGGGATGCGGGCACGGCCGGGGCCGGGGGGGGGGCGGAGGAGGAGGAGGAGGAGGAGGAGGAGGAAGAGGAGGAGGAGGCTTGGCAGAAGGACGAGACAGATGTCCTCCGGGCTCCTGCCCTCCTGCTGCCACCTCGGGGCTGCCCGCAGCCCCCTCCCCGCTTTGCGCCTTTGCAGCCGGCGGTGGTCCCAGGCTTGGGGTGCGCAGGGGGCAAAGCCCCCCCCCCCCGGCTCCCCACCCCCCCGACATCCCCAGGAGGGAAAAACAACACCAGGAACAGCCCATGCAGAGCCCCCCGTCCCGTGTCCCCCCTCCTGTCCCCAGCCGGGCACTGCCCCCCTGCAGCCCACCCCCAGGGGCACCCCAGGAGCAGCCCCGGGGCCCCCATCGGTGTCAGGGGGGGCGCAGAGAGCAAAGCCCCCGCAGGCAGCAGCAGCCTCCAGCTGTCACCAGGAGCAGCATTAAGGCAGCGGCTGATCCCCGGCACTGCCGGAGAGCAAACCAGGCCCGGGGGGGCGAGAGGGGGGGCTCCAGAGAATGAAGGGGGACATGGACAGGGGCCCCGGTGGGGTCCCGTTGCCCCCAGGCTGGGCGCTGCTGCCTCACGGCCCCAAAACCAGGCTGAGCTCTGCAGGGATGCTGCTGGGGAGACCGCAGCTCCCCATGGGGCTGGAGCCAAGTTGGGGCTCTGCCAGCGGGGCAGCTGCTCCAAACCCTCAGCGTGCCCCAGCTCGGAGCCACCAAAACACCACAAATCGTCCCCAAAAGCACCTGCACACCTCCTCCGGCCCCGGCTGCGTGCGGTGCCCCAGGGGAAGGGGACGGTGCCTGGCGCGGGGCCACCCCAGAGCAAAACCTTCAGGGCAGGGGGGTGGCTGCCAGCCACGGTGGCACTGTGGCCACCTGCAGCACCAGTGGCACCAGTGGCACCAGTAGCACCAGCAGCAGCACCAGCAGCACCGTTTCCCTGTGCCACCAAACTCCCCACCATCACCAACCACGATCCCAGTGCCCATCCACGTCCCTCCCCACCACGGTTCAATGGCCAGGGCAGACGTACCTGCAGCACTGCCGGGGTGTGGGAAACCCATTTCCAGGGAGGTTTTATCCTACAAACCCCCGTGCTCGCAGCTGGCCCTGGGCTGGGAACACAGGACCTGCCTGGCCCCAGGGTGCTGCCCAGGGGCTGCCAATGCCCTGGGGGGTGCTGGAGGTGCCCTAACGCAGAGCATGGAAGCTGAATTTTCCTCCCGGCCTTTATTTTAACAGATTTACAGGCAGCAGCCTCGCCGTCTGCAGGAGAGCTTGCCCAAATCCCCACGGCACCAGGGTTTTGCAGGCTCGGTGGGGACGTGGTGCAGGGGCTCGGGGCTCAGCCCCTGCCCGGTGCAGGGAGCGAGGCCTCTCCCCTACCCAGGGAAAGGAGATTTAGGGGTTAGCAACAGGTCACTGCTGCCTCCGACCCTTTTCCCACGAAAACAAAAAGGTTTCAACAGCCCGAAGGAGAAAGCAGCACCTCGGCTGCGATTAACCCCTTCGTCCCCCCCCCTCGCCGAGGCCTGGACTGGGATTTTCCAGAGACCCGGGTCCTTTGGGGCTGCCATGGGATCCCCAACCCGCTCCCTCTCCCTACGTGCTCCTTGGCCACCCCCATGGGATGTTCCTCCCCCAGGGGCTCTCTGCTCCCAGCCCAGACCCCACCTGAGGGTCGGACAGACGGACAGATGGACGGATGGACCCAGCACACAGCCGGGTGCCTCGCAGCGGGGACGAGCAGCTCAGGGGGTGGTGACACCCGTGCCACCCCCACGGCCACGGCTCCTGTCCCCTGGGAGCCACAAGCAGCTGGAGGAAGGTGCCAGCTCCGCTGCTGCAGCGGCGAGGAGGCACAGCGCTGGCTGACGGCTGGTCTGCAGCCCCAGCTCCTGCGTGTGTCTCCAGCTTTGCTGGCAAAGCCCTTCAGGGTCTTAAAAACAATCAAACGAACAAAAAAAACACATTTTTTAATTTTTTTTTCCCGTGTAAAAATGAAGATTTCCCCCCCGACGCCACCTGCTCCCGGGTCTGTGCCGCGCGGTTTCGTAACGCAGCCCCAGCCTCGGGAGCTGCCTTGCAGCCCTCAGAAATGCCCAATTTCAACAAGTCGGCAACACAAATCCTGTTTGCAGCCATAATCACTGCCCTGGCTGTTACAAAGGTCAGCCTGGAAAAAAATGAATAAAAAATTAAAAAATAAAAAAGCACTGGCTGCACCCCAAGACGACCCTTGACACCTCCAATTTCCCTGGTCCCTCGGCACCCTCCTGGGGATGCTGCGCACCCGGGGCTCCCGGTGCCAGCCCCAATTGAACCTCTCCTCGGGCTGGCTGAGCCTTGTGGGTCACCCATGTGGCAGAGAGCAGAGATTTAGCCCCAGATCTGCACCGACCTGGTCCTGGCTGCTGGTTCTCCATCCCTCCCTCCCCCTCCAGGCTTAGCCAAAAATACTGTGGTCTGAGCCCATCCATGCCTGAACTGGGAACCGACCACATGTTGTCATCCAGGTCTTGTTAGACACTGAAACGCAGGTGAACATCGCCTTTGTGGGAGCCCTGCTGTCTGCCCGTCCCATAAAAGCATTTGGGGCTTTGGGTGGATGCAGCAGGGCATGGCCCCGCTCTGCCCAGCTTCCCACCTGCAGGGTAATTAAGGGATCTGAAATAAATGGGGAGGTTTTCGGCCCTGCGGGGATAATTCCTCCCCTCGGTGGCAGCTGCCTGCAGGGCTGCCCTGGAGGGGGGGAGCCGAGGCAGTGGGAGCTGGGGCTGGAAGTGGAAATTTCCCAGGGAGGGAGGAAATGGTTTCCTTCTGGGGTGTCCCTCCAACAACTTTTTTCACCGCCTTTCCCTAAATAGCTCCTCGGAGCAGCTGCTGTGACTTTATATCTCTCTGCTCCCCTCCCAGCCCCAGCAAAGCAGCTCACAGCCCTATTTCCACAACGAACCCCGAGGGGGGAACCCTCCGGCCCCATTCCCATGGGGCAGGATGGGGCACGGGTGCCCGTCCCTGGTGACTGTGCCATCGGTGTGCTTAGTGGCACAGTGCCTGGGGGAGCCGGGCATCTCGGCCCCGTCGTGGTTTGGGGCCTCCAAAATACTTTGGGTGGTGCAGAGCGCTGGAAAGATTGGGGCTTTAAGGGCAGGAGTGGAAATTGGGAGGCTGTGGGGTTCTGGAGCCACGGATGTGTTTGGGATCCTTTTGGAGAGGGGATGAGGTTGTGCCAAGAGGGAATCGGTTCCCTTGGGGCGGCAGGGAAGGGCATTTGGGAACCCCAGTGATTAGTACCCCAGCCTCATTCCCTTTCCCTTCCCCATCCCTGCCTGGGGACAGACGGATGGGGGAAGAGGAGCTGCACGTGGCCGGGGGCTGCTCTTGGGGACAAGGGTGGCACGGGGGGAGCTGCAGGAGGGGCCAGCCCAGCGGGTCTCGAGGCCATCCCACGCTACCAATCCCTGCCAGCCTCAGCAGCTCCGTGCGGGTTCCTAAAAGCCGAACCGAGCCGTAACTCATCGGGGCAGGGACGCCCACGTCACGAGCTGGCAGCGGTGCCGGCAGCTTTTCAGGCCTCCTTCCAAGAGCAGGCAGGTGTCACCCGCAGCGTCACCCTCCCGGCTCCTGAAGTGCTTTCAGAGCTGCTTCTGCTCCTCCTGCTGCTGGGGAGAGCAAAAGCCAAGGGGAGGGGGATGGTGGGATGGGGAGCCGGGGCAAAGAAAGGGGGAGCTGAAGGTTTTGAGTAAGGATTTGCAGAACCGCAGCGACCCCTCCTCTGGCTGTTGGGCTCAGATCTCCATCCCTGCCCTTCGCTGACCTTGATCAGCCCACGGCTTTCCCACAGCCCAGCACAAATCCCGGGGCATTGGCTGAGTTTAGGACTGAGCAAGGACAGCAGGCTCGGCAAGGAAAGGCACGCACCCTTCAATCTGTCGTCACAGCCCCAAACCTACCCTGAAGCAGCACCTGCTGGGGAACAGCCCTTTGCCATGCTCGGAGCAAGCACCGTGACCTGGAGCAGGGCTACAGAAGCACCTTGACATCAACATCCAAGGCTGTGGGGAAGAAAACTCCAGGGAAGAGCCAGCCCAGCGCTTCCTGGGGGTTTGAGGCAGCCACAACCCCTTCAGCTCCACCTTTCTGCCCCCCCAGCCCCTCCACAGCCCCCTTCCCGAAGCGCTTTTTCCTCCGGCCCCAGAGCTGATGTAATCTGCTGGAGCTCGGCTTTAGGATGGCATCAGCCCTGAGACGTAACCAGAGCCACATCACACCAGCAGCTGTTCCACAAAGGCTTTATTGCTCGTTTGCATCCGAGCTCCCAGCACCACATTTCCTGAGTTTCTTAATGAGCTTGCAAATGAGGTTTAAATAGAAAAGGAAGGGGAAAAAAAAAAAAAAAAGCCACTGATTTTCCTTGCTAGGCTGGGACCTAGGCGGGCGTACAGTGCCGGGGGTAGGAGCTTGACCCCCAGCGAGAGCTCAGAGGTGATCACAGCTCAGCGTGGAGCTGAGACAAAGCGGTTCCAGGCTCGCAGGGCTTGGAGGTGATGGCAGCGGGTCGGGGACAGCGGCAGCGTGGGTGGCAGGGCGGCGAGGGGAGGGGGCCACGCTGACCTGACCCCTGCCCGGCAGATAAAGAGGGGATTACGGCTCATGGCTTGTAATCTGGCTTAAGACCTGACACCGTCACCACGGTCAATTTGGGCTAAAAGAAGCATTTAATAAGCCCCGAGACATACTAGGAAAAGAAAAAATCCAAATAAAGAACCAAAAACCCACCAAGCAGCAGCGAGGGAAGTGCACGGAGCGAGGCAGCGCCCGCACGGTGCGGTGCAGGCAGGTCCCAGCACACGCTGCCCTCGTGGTCCGGAACAGGACCATCACACGCTTGTTATCCCGCTCCATCAGGGTTTAATCGTGGGAGGCAGAAAGGGAATTAATGCCCGGGTCTGTTTGTTTGGGGCTCCCGACAGGCCTGGCAC